TTGAGGAATTAGAATCTAAGTCCTAAGAGCTGGGCCGGACGGAAGTCACCCGCGGGCCACATTGGGTCCACAGGCCTTCAGTTTGACAGATGCTGTGTGTGCTGGTGCCAGTGTGTTTGTTTTGTTTCTTTTCTTTTCTTTTCTTTTCTGAATAGTAAGCTAAGTTCAAAGCAGCCAAACTTGAACCAAGCACTGTGTTTTTATACTTTTTCTCATGAGATCTTTATTTTTTACTTTACTCTCAGTTCAACTAATTCAGCTGGCAGAGACAAAAGAAGTCAAATTGCTCTAAAACACACAAAGCTCATTTACTTCTGAGAATGCCCTTTTTTRCCCCAGTTGAGCCGCGCTCTGTGAAAAATGAAACATGAAAAATAAAACAAGACCAGATGTTTTTGTGACCCGAGGAAAAAAAAAAAAGAAATAAAAAAAAACTTGAGTGGTGAACGGGAACGTCGCTGGCAGCTCCAGGACATCAGTAGTGATGCTGTGGAATTTTTCAGCATGGAGCCCATCAATGTCATCATGTTTATCTGAGTGCTGAAACGAAGTTATGGGGATTTTAGATGTCATCTTGCCACGCACGCTTCATCTGTAAAAAGCCACCCACTCTCCACTTCACATCCACTTTCCGTTCAATAGTTTTTCACTTTCCCCTGAGCCAACCTCCCTGCTGCAGCCAGTACAGCAAACACACACACACGCACCACAATCACTGTACATTTTCATTACAAAAACACTGGATTAGTTCACCAAATCAGCTTTGATCTGTGCTGTAGGGCCGCACCAATACAAGACAACCACAGGTTGAATTTGAAAGCACTGGTTTGTTTGGGAGACAAATGGAGAGAGAAACAGAGCAGCAGAATAAAAATTAGAAAAGTGATGTTAGTTGGAGTGTGTTCAGAAGTCTGCCTGTGTGTTTTTGTGTGGCAGCTGGTTCTGGTCAGCTGACAGCTCTTGCTGAGTGTGATTTGTTGGATCGGCTGGACTGGGCTGAACCACATATACAGCTGCAATCAGTGTGTGTGGGTTGGAGGACATAAATGAGAGCAAGGGAGGGGAAAAAAGAAAAAGAGGAAGGAAAGGAGGGGGAGAGAGAGAGACATGCAGAGCTGCCAGTGTGTCAGCAACAGCAACATTTGGAGCTGGAGTCTGGAGCAGAGCAGCTCAGGAAAGAAAAAAAGCTGACCCGGCTTTCCGAGTGGGGCTGCTCAGATGGAGATCTGGGTGTTGCGCCTGGACTGAGCATCACCTCTGGCTGGACCAGGGTCTCTGTTAGATGAGAAAACACTGCCGGACGGGGAGCCGGGTCCGGACTTGGAGACRACAGCGCTGAAACATGGGCTGCTCGGCCAGTGTGGTCCTGCTGCTGCGCTCGGTGGGCGGGGCTGACTGTGGTCATATGTGTTCACGTCAGGACCAGATGTCCGTGGAAGCTGCAACACCCACGCTAGAGGGTTACACCACTACCAACTCACCTGTGACCATCATTATAATGGTAACTAGAAGATCTCCCACTCCCCGTCACCTGCCACCTGCGTGTTTCGACCATCATGCTGCGTCAACATTCATGCTTTTTTTCCAGATTTCTGTAAATCATTATTATTTTTATTATTTGCAATCTAATTGTATACTGTATACCACAGGTGTTAAACGTCAGTCCTCGAGGGCAGCTGTCATGTTTTACAGGTTTTTCAGCTCCAACACACCTTTTTGCATGAATGGGTGATTAACGTGTCTAAGAAATTTGAAGAGGTAATTGAGTCACTGAATCGTACAGGGAAACAAGAAATGCATGCAGGATAGCAGCCTTCAAGAACCGGAGTTTGACATCACTGCTGCCGTTTCAGCCATAACGAAAAGTTCGGCTCATTCAAGAGACAAGTGCTGTGACACTTGGTTTCTAGAGCTTTTTTACTTTTCAAAAAAAAAAAAAATCACTTAATTAAACAAATATCTTCCTCGTCGAAATACGTTATCTTCCAAAACATTGTCTCCTCTAAATTGGCTTCAGCGTATTTGATTAATTTATTTTTACCTTCTTATAGTGTTTTTAGCTACCGTTCTTCTAGTTTTAGAGTTCAGCAGAACTTTTGCAACTTTTAGCCTCTAGCTAACCTTTCTTAGTTTTACTGCCATCTGTTCTTCTGCTATGTTTAGCTTTTAGCCAGCATTCGCTACTTTTAGCTTCTAGTTAGCCTGTTGATAATCTTACCAATTCAGCACACTGCATTGACAAAATAAGCATTTTTTTCTAGTCTGGCCTGCTTTAGTGTTTGTTTTGTGCATTTTAATTTAATTAAGATGTCCTGTTGATATCAGATTTAAAGTTTCAACTTTTGTTGTGTAGTTTTTTGTGTCATATTACTTCCTCATTTGAGCTTTGTTGTTTTTTTTTTTTTTTACCTCGTTGCTGAGTTTGGTGTATGATCGATGACCTGGATCTGGTTGTTTTCCCTCACAGCTGAGATGCAGAGAGGAGGAAATGGAAAAAGCAGAGTAGTGGGGCGAGGGGGGAGTGGAGGGGTCAAGCATGAGGAATCTCGTTTCTGTGGGAAAAATCTGCTTTTTGTGCAGAGAAGATGTTATAAATAGCGCTTTAAGCAGAACCCATTATTAGTATGACGCATGAGAACTGCCTCAGTGAGTGAATGAATGAAAAAATGAATGGCTGAAGAGCATGAATTACATCAAGGCACATTAATATTTCGCCCTGCTATTCGGTTCAGCACGGGCTTGCATGTCAACCATATGTTTGGTATCTGAACAACTCTTAGGCCCGTTTCTTTTTTTTAATCCCCAAGAAAGACTGTTTTCAGTAAACCCAGTGGAAAAAATGTTCCAGTCTTGGCAGTGGAAGTTTCTTTACAGTCACCCCTTTCTGCTTCCCTCCTCTCTCTCCTTTTTCCTCTCTTTTACCACTTGTCTCCTCTGGTGCCCATTTACTGACTTCTAGAATAAAATAGAACCAAGATACTTTGCAAAATCCTGCCAGCCTGCAGAKTGGAAGAACACCGGCTGATCTATTCAAGTCACCTCCAGTTTGGAACTAGTGCACCGGTTCTGTTTATTTCAGGAGAAAACATTTCATGTSAACAACTTTATTAAAGCACATAAGTAAAACATATGCTGTAAGGTTCCTGTCAAATGAAACGTTGCTCCTTTTCAGGATGCCTCGGTGGTGTTTTGCAAAGACAACTACTCCGTTTGATTCAGAGCTCTCAACTCTTTGCAAGAAAATCGAAGGGGGTTGGGGTGCACAGTAATGTCATCTGATCATGACAGAGCAGTGTCAAAACAACATGTTTGCACAAAGAAGAGAGATTAATGGGTTCAATGTTCCTGGGGCTCTTTCTTTTCTCTGGAACTCTGCATAAATTTTTCATCATTAATTGTGCTTTGACTGATGTGCAGCTTCTAACGATGTCGAGCAAAAGTGAACCCTTTATCGCGACTGATGCTGGCTTCTAATTTAAGCCCTCAGCATTAAAAAATAAAATGCTTGTCTCACCTGTTGCCACGTTGTGAGGTTATCGTGTTTTTTTTGTTTGTTTTTTTGTTTGCTGTTATTTAGGCTTAATTCTTACAGTATTCCGCTGGCCCTGTCACAACTTTTCTGAAACGTTACTGGCGATAACTTCAAACCGAGGATTACTTCTGGTGTCTCAGTTTCTGCATGTGATTTATCTCTGTGTTTTTCAGTCAAAGTGCAAARAAACTGCCAAGAATTGCGACACAAATGGTATCCACACAGCTGGCTGAGCACACTAAGAAGCTGCTTTTTGACCATAGTTAGAAAACACAGTGAAAGTGACAATAACTCACTTTATCAGAATCTCGCKGAAGAAGCTGCAAACATGGTTTTTAAACTAAAAAGGGACTTTTTGTTAGAAGCATGACTCTTCATTAATGCCGGAGTGTCTCTGCGTGGCTGTAATGATGTGAAGCAGATGGTTTCTGTCTGGGATCAGCATCGGCCATCTCAGCAGCTGTCTCTGTCCTCCTCTGTCTCACCGTCTTTACTTCCTGTCAGTCCCTTTTGCCATGAATCTTCTTTCACTGTGTCCTCTCTGTCACACTTTGCTTTACCAAGATGATAAAGTTTCGACATCTMCTTGAGAATGTGAAACTTTTGATTTCTATCTATCTCTCTCTCTCTCTTTTTGGCTGCCTATCTTCTCATCTTCAGACAGATTTAGACAGTTATGCCGAAGCAAAGCCAAAAGTCTTATGCTCTTCTTTTTATGGCCCACATTAAGTTGTGGGTTACCAGTATTGAAACCAACACTTTCTCTCTCCTGCTGCGAGCGAATAAGGGCTGAGCAGGTACAGAGGGTGAGATGGTAAAGTGTGTGTGTGTGTGTGTGTGTTAACAGGGCCAGAACAAGGAAGCGGGGTGGAGTTGGAGAGAGAATCAAAGGCAAAAGAACTGAAGGTTGCTGAGGATTTTTGATGAGATGTGGAAGCTGTGGAGGGAGGGAGGAGGAGAGGGGAAGGAGCAAACTGAGGCAGCTGGTGGAGAACAACTGAAGGATGGAGTGAAGCAAAGAGCTGCCGCAGACGTTCAATAGACTTAATGGGGGAATAAATWTGARTGAAACCATCAGACGTATTAAAACYGTAGACTGAAGCTTCACTAAAAGGTTTCCCGTCCACATAAAACGCTCAGAGTTCTGTTGTTCAGTTGTTGTCTCACTCTTGGTTAAATYTGAGGCAATATGCAGACTAGACAAAACTAACCCTTAAATTATCCTATGCATGAATAAGAAATGTTATGACGCAGGATTTAAATTGAATTTTGAGGTTACGTGGCTGCTTTTAGCAAATCTCATTCAGTAATTCACTGTTACYGCAAAAGTGAAACAATTGGAGGGGTCTTTATGATGACCACTGTCAAAGTCATGCTCAGACTGTCATGACTCTGATACAAACATCATCAAATGTACAGCTTCCTTAGATTTTTTTAAACGACTTGTATTTTTTTCTATATTTTAAGGGTCAAGAAAAAAATACATTTTTTGACAGGTGGCCAGATTTGGCCTGTGGGCCTTGAGTTTGACATTTTTGCTTTAGACTATATGGACTAATAACACAATAAACAACTGAGTTTATAATTATTAACATAAAGGATTGGCATTATTAGCAGTGCAAACATTAGTTAACAATAAACAATAAAAGTAATAAATAATAATGTCCTTGAATACATGCATATTGACCACCACAATTTGTGACTGACCTAGTGAAACTAGAGTGACCAAATTTTAGTTCAGCAACGGTAAAACTGACTGGGTTATAGTTGCTTTTGTGTATGGTAAGATTGTTTGTCTGTGGTGGCCATCTTGAAGTGAARTGACTTCAAAAGTAAATCAGTTTTAGATTCACGTCATCCATTGAMTACTTTCTGAGAGTTTCATTAAAATATGTTGAGTATTTCATGAGGTATTTTGCCAACAGAGAGACAAGGTTGACTCTAATCGTTAATGCCAAGTTCTAAACAAAGATCACACACACGATCTGTTAGAGCTCATATTGTTTGATAAGGATGACTCTCAGCTACTGCTACATTAAATGTTAGCACAATATCTATGAAACTGTCTGAATTAAAGCCATTTTTGTGTTTTACAAGTTCACTTGGCTGCAACAGACATCTTAAATTGATTTGACTCCAAAAGTCAATGATTTTTCGAAGTACATCTAATGATTACTTTCTGTAAGTTTCATTTAGCTCCATCTAGTGTTTTATGAGATATTTTGCTAACAGACAGACAGCTATTTGACCACGTTCATGACAAGTTTAGGACACATAAATATGACTTAAAGATTATGAGTTGTAGTTCACATAAGATTGGGTGTTTGACTCCCTCTCCTGTTTTTAACACACTAAACACCCATGGTATTTCTGATATGTAAAGATGTATGATTAAAAGACAAAAACAAAATAAAACAAAAGTGCTATATATAGAATACAATGCAATTGCTAGACCGCCAACATTCATGTCATTTTTCAGCATCACATGTAATTAAGAGATGTAAAATCAAGAACAATAGAAATTAAAAATAAAATCTGCATAATTCACATGTTTTGTGTTTCAGGACCGCTGCAGCCTCCTCCTCCTGTCTGGTAAAAAAAAGGGGGAAAGCAAATGCCGTGGTTTAAAAAGATACAGGCACTTGTTGTATCATCAAATGTTGTTTCCTCTTGTTCAGACAGTTCTGGTCTCATGTTCAGACTGAGGAAGTGTGTGTGTGTGTGTTTGAGTGTGTGTGTCTGTCTCTGTGTTTGTACATATGTGGTTACATGTATGTATTCTGACAAACATCTCTGTGTGTTTTATTAATATTCTTTTAGTTTTACATGTTTCCTGTCCACCCTATACCTCACAGACAGTGTCATGTAAAAACACAGGCAGCTTCTCAAACAGGAAGTTAATAGTCTTTGGGCGTGTAAATGTCTGTGTGGTTTTGTGAACACCTAGGTGCTAAATTATTTAGACAAACACGAGAGTCTGACTCTTGTTTTGTGTGCGGTTTAGTTTAAGATGGTTGTGTTGTGTTTGGGCAGGTTGTAGGTTTGAAAGTAAGATCTCTATCAAAGTTTCTTCTTGAATCAACTAAAAACAGCATCACCAGTTTTGAACGCAGGCCCGTTTCAGGGGGATTTTCTCACCTTCTGTGCATGTCTGTGTGGTAATGTGTCTGTTGAACGATCACACATTAACTACTTCCTCGGTATCCACATGGGCTGAGGCAAACTCACACATKAGCTTCCTCTCTGCCCACGTGTGCTGAGACAAACTCATGCAGAGCGGTAGTTCTGCTTCTGAAAGAGCACAAGCCCACAATGTGTCTCTTGTGGAAGTCCTGTCACCTCTAGTGTTTTCTTCTTCTTTAGATTAGACCGTAACCAGTGTGATTAATTCAACTGGCGATGAGCTTCAGGAGCAAAATCACCTTCAGGAGGAAAATAAAGAGCAAACGAGTGCGATCGGATTTCAACCGTCTGAGTATTGTATGTACTTGAATGTTTTCTTTTTATTGATTTTGTCATGCTTCAGTCAAATAGCCATTAGTTAATGATTATTAGATGTCAGCACGCCACCAGTGACTTATTTTGGTAATTTATATACATGTAATTGTTTTATTGACTAAAAATCTATTTTAGTACTTCAAAATGGCATTTGCTCATGTCTAGCTTTGTTTGTTAGCTCTGCCTGGCACGAACAGCAAGAGTCTCCTAATATCATGTTTAATACTTAATGTGCGTAATTTTGCAAAAACGTTGATGGTACTAGACATAGCTTCCCTCTACTCTGACGTCAMGGAGGTCAAACTTGTCATCCTTATGTGCTTCAGACTTTCCAATCTGATCTCATGATAGAGTATTTTTATAATTATCTTATGAGTTTTTCTTTCATTACACGTCAGGAAATTGCAAACAGTTGCCWTTTTTTTAGCAGGCGAACATTCATTTGCCCGTGTTTGTGTGTCTCTGTGTTTGTACYTCTGTGAGCAAAATATCTCATGAACCAAGGGATCTCTTCTATTGAAAATTTTCAGACGGCTATTATCGGACCTTCATTCCTAACGTTTGGAGTGAACCCCATTCATTCAAACAGTTCCTGTCACCTCTCACAGCTCATCAGTTTTATCAAACACAAAAATGGTTATGTCTCGTTCAGCTTGACATATATTGAGCTAAAATTCTGAGTTTTAGTAGATATTATCAGTGCATACTCCAAGGGCTTAACWGTTCATGCCAGATCTTTAACTTCATGGGCAATGTGCATCGATTAATCACCAAACTTCAAATCTAAATTCTACTGGACTTTGGAAACTAAAGTGTTTTGACATTGCTTGCTTCACTTGGGTAAAATTGAAAACCTCCTATATATTTTGTGGTAAAAACTGAGGCAGAGATTGCCCTAGTTGGTTGAGAACAATAAGACAATTTCCTTCATTCTGTGCAATTTGTTTTAGTTTTTCAGAGGGCCTGTATAGGTAGTCAAAGTGTTGAAATCTGGTRTGCATGTGAAGTAAACGAGAATTCATAACTTCCTCTGTGTCTCTGACCACAGCCTGCACCACCTCCAGRTTTGTTCTGTGTGCAGCAGTGTTARTTTCTGACTATTTTGTTGTTTTCTGTGTGTGACTCACTGAAAAGAGACAATATTTCTGGTACTTTTTCATCCTTTCAATGAGAAGCGACAGAGAATGGATCGTTGTATCGGGTGTGTACTTTTTTGTAAGAGGTCTAGTATCTTTTTTAGTGAAAAGGTCATGCCTTTACGACATGGTTTCATTTTAATGTAACTTTTTTTTGAGAGGGGGAATTTACACTCAGCTRTTATTTGTGTGGAAATGAGTCTGTTTTCGTATTTAAAACTCCAACTTCACACTTGGTAGTTGGGTGTGATTGAGCTGAACTTCAGCTGCGTCGCTACTTCCCCTTCTTTAGGTACAAATCATGTCARGATTAAACCCAAGTAATGTTATGATTATGATCCTTTTTTAAMTTTTTGCATAGTGGTTTGGATTATTCCCTGGGTGTAAGCAAATTTACTGACAAAGCCAATCTTCCAAAGCCATATTTATGAGGAACTGTCTTCTGTCTCTGAATTTTCTGATTCTTGTGCTGTAAATTGTGAATGGTATGGTGCATACTGTAAATACCTGGCCTCACCTAGTCACTTTGTAAATCAACCTTAAAGAACAATTTAACATAAAGATTTGATATTTGATACCAGTGGCGGCTGGTGGATTTTTCTCCAGGTGGGGCTTCAACTCAAAAATACATATCTCAGAAAGCAATCAAACGTACTAAGTTGTATCACACCAGTGTATTTATTCAACACATGAAAATAATAAAACAGCATTACAATGTCATGTATTGTGTTCTTTTTTTGTACATAAATTTTGCTCTTCTGTTACTGAGAAGCAAATTTCTTCATGACTCTGGTTAAAGTCAGGGATGTTTTAATAAGATTCTTCTCTATAGAGAGCATGGTCAGTGCAGTGAGATGTGATGCTGTACCTGAGGAAAGTCTGTATTCTCTTCAGTGTTCAGCTCCTCTCATATTCAGCTGTGGTCAGAGGAGATGTGATGAGAATCTTCAGCAGAGTCACAGTCTCTGAAGGTGTCCTGCAGATTGTTTTCCATGAAGAGCTGGTCCTGTTCAGCACTGGGTGAGCTTCCATGGTCTTCAGAGCTGCTTCAGAAAAAATTGTCTGTGATCCTGCTGGAACCTGTCTGCCTGCAGCACTGTAGCTCTGATCAGATGCTTTGTGAATGGCTCAAGATGATGTCACAAACCTAAAACAATAACTGCACAAATTTAATTCAATATGAAGATGGCTACAAGTGAGCTTCATAATACATACTATGAAAAAATGATGTTATTTTAATAGCAACAAATTGTTGTACCTCTAAGTTAAACTATTACATTTTTATTTTAAAATAAA